CCCCCCCCCCCCCCCCCCCCCCGTGTCGCTTGAGTCATGAGGAGGCCAAGGAAGCGGAGAACAACACTTGCTTGAAGAAAGGCTTACAAATGGGTTGTTAGGCAACCACACAAGTCCACAATCTCACACCTGAGACTTACAGACCCCTTCTCTAGTTTTAACTGCTACTAAATTTTGCCTCACTGAAAGATGACCTTGCAGCCAAGACACATCCAAGCAAAGAAACAATGTCTCCGGTTAGAAAAATCCCATTTCTGTCCCCAAAGGGCTGGCTGCTTAGGTGAGGTTCCCCACCAGAAGACCCCCAGCAGCCTCGCTCCACCAGGCGTCCCCTACAAATTCCAGCCAGTGTGGTTCGTCCAGGCCAGCCTCTATGGAGACCCCCCGACTCTGCTTCCATCGGAAGGTCCTTACTGCAACAAAAATGACCCCCCCCGACCCCCAACCCCCCCACCCAGGGCCTGGGAGCTGACACCCGTCCACTCGTGTTCAGAGAGCTCAGAGCCGAAGGGCCTGTTGTCCACCAAGCCCAGCGTGGTCAGGGTGAGTCATCACTCAGGGGAGCCTGGTGGTCCACACCAGATCCCAAATGAGCCAGAGCTGAGAGCCAACCTGCCTTGCTCGGTCGGGGACCACTTGGATGGCTCTCCCAGCAGAGCTCTCCTCCCAAATCTAGGCTGAAGAACACGATTGCTCCCCCCCCCCCCCCCCCCCCCCAGGAGAGAAAAGAGGACGCAATTACCTGCAATTACTCTCTCCACAGCACACTCAAAGCTGATTGTGTCGATGGATTTGTACCCCTCTCTGGCAGCGTGGAGAGCCGCCTCGTTACAAATGTTGGCAATATCAGCTCCTGTGGAGAGAACCCAGGGACTCTTGTTCGGCTTCTGGAGCACAGCACAGGTGGGGAGAGAACAGGGGGCTCTTAAGAAGCCAAGACAGGGTCCTCAGTGGGGCCACCCCCCATTGCCCAGGTGCCAAGGGCCAGCAGTGATGCCAGCGAGGGAAAGAAAGCAAACCTCCACCTCGGCTCTTCACTTGCCAGCCCAGCTTGGGAGGCAGTTCCAGGCAGCCAGTCCACCCCTTGACTGGGGGGTGGGTGGGTGGGTGTTAGCCCTCTTTGCCTGGTCATCCAAGCTGCTAAGTCTCAAGGTCCATTGTTCTGCATTTCCCTGCCTGCAGAAACAACGGCTGTGTAGCCTCCTCTGGCAGGGCCTGATCCTGAATGCGAATCTACTCCTCGTTCCACTCTCTTCTTGCCTGTCTAGCGTCCCAAAACCTTCACCCTGGGCTCTGTTTCACAGCAAGGCAAACCTCCGGGTTCCCTAAGGACACCTGGGCTCTGGTCATTCAACTTTTTAAAGAGCAGCATTTTTTTCTTCAAGGAAAGGCAGCGGAGCCTCTCACTTACATCACACCAAGGTAGCTGGAGAAGGCGAGGGAAACGTAGCTGGCAGAACAGGTTCGTTTTCAAGTTGTGCAAGGTAACAAAAGTTATTTAACATCTGGCAGAATTTAAGGTAGAGAAACACGGCAGAAAACGGCTTCTGGATTTCTTTCTAACCCCTTTACTGTCCATAATGGACATAGATGGCACCAGTATTTTATCGGAGTAAAGAAGTAATGCATTTGGATGTGGGTGTGCGGTGTGGATGTGTGAACTGAGAAGCCCAGGGCTGGCTGGGTGGGGTTTATCACGTGGCTGGGATGAGGCCTAGGAGTGTGAACTGCTTCCCCCCCTGCCCCTCCCAAGGTGCCCCAGGGACAGCTGTTTCTGCCTTCTTCTCCTCTGTGGCCCCAGCCAGATCCAACCCCCCCCAATCCTTCTTCTGCCAGCCTCCCTCCCTCCCTGGCCCAGCCCCCGTGAAATTCGGCCCCGTTCAGTTTTTGGAGATGGTCCTGCTGATGGACAGACAGGTGGCCACTTCCCAGCATCCTTACTAATTCCTTACTCATATCTTAGGGTGAGAGGATGACAGTAATTTTTACAAACCCTTGTGCCTCATTTACCAGAAGGTGTTTCTGGGAACGGGCCTGGCTTTCATCTCTTCTTCCCAGGACTTTCCTTCCCTCCAGGGACGTGAGGCTTTGCGCATGCTTCCCTCAAGGCTGAGCATGGCAACCGGTTCAAAGACCGGCAGAGTTTGGATCTGGGTCTCCCCGTCCTGGGGAACAGCCTCTGCAGCCAAGGGGTCTCACAGGCTCTTTACAGCTAACCCCGCCCCAATCCTCCTCTGCTTCAACTGTCCTCCGTTTTCTCTTCTTCCTCTATTTAAACCTCATTCATTACTAGCATCCAGGGATTTTTCTCTAAACCAACCGAGGCATTTTATTTAAACGTTTAAAAACTGAGAAAACAAAAAGCTCAGCAAAAGGAAAAGAAAAGCAAGCCTTCTGGAAGGGGGTTGGAAGCAGGCCTCTCAAGGAGGGAGCAGGCAGGAGCCAGGCCTGCCGGTCGTGCTGTCCCAACCGCAGGGTCCCAACCGCAGGCCCGAGCTGGCTGCCCACACAGAGGGGCTGCAAGGGGGTCATCGGGCCCAACCCCAGGGTGCTCTCAGGAGGGGGCAGGGGGAGCCAGGAGAACCAGCCTGGCGTGGCCCTAGGACGCCCCCGATGGGACTGCAGAGGAGGCACATCGGCTCCGAGTTGGGGCGTGGAGGCGGAACGGAGAGCAACAAAGCGGCAGCCGCCACAGGGCTGGGCTGGCAGAGAACGCAGAGGGGACTCTGTGCTCTCTCTTCCAAGGGGAAGGATCGCCCAAGCTCTGGGCGGGGGGCTTGGAGAAGCTGGATCTCTTGTCCCCCTCCCCACACGTACCGCTGAAGCCTGGGGTGAGTTCAGCCAACCGCTGGGAGTAGAAGCTGCCGGGCTGGGAGAGCTTCAGCCCCTTCAGGTGTTGCTCGAAGATCTCCCGTCTCTCCTACAAAGAGCAGAGCGGACGGGTTGCCACAGATCCCCTGGACGGAGGGGTGTGTGTGTGTGTGTGTGTCTGTCAAGGACTGGAGGGCACAGAAAGGCAGACCCTCCCCTCTCCCGAGGGCCCCTGGACCGGCCTGGGGAGGGCCGCTCTTAAGTGCACAGAGAGCCTGCCTGGGTCTCGGACTGAGCAGGTGGCCTTGGCTGCTCCAGGGCAGGAGGTCTTGGGCCCTGAGACAAAGATGGCCGGGGCTTCCTTAGGCCCAGCCTCCCCCGCAACCCTGCCTGCCCTTCCCCAGGAGACCAAAGGGAAGAGCCTGCTGAGGGGCCGCCCCTCTCTTCCCCAGAGGCTGTGGCTCTCCTCCTCCTCCTCCTCCTCCTCCTCCTCCTCCAGCCTTTCCCCCACTGCACCGTCAGCACCAAGAGCGGATCCAGACTCGCAAGGGCTCCCCTTCCCTCCACGCATGAATGAAAGGAAGGAAATTGGGGGCTTGGGGGGGGGGGATCAGGTTGGCCCTGTGCCAGAGTGTGACTCATGGGGCCGGTCACAATAGCCCTGATTAGAGCAGGGGGCTCAGCTGCCAGAATTTCCTGCTCCTTTTTCCTCCGGGGCAGCTGCGCAGCTCCAGGCATCTGAGGGATTTCAGGCCAAAACAGGGAAGAACCAGAAAGGGGCAGCCTGGCCGGGAAAGGAAAAGGAGCGGCTGCTGCTGCTCTCCTGGAATGGGGGGACCCCAGAGAGAGAGGCGCCGTCGGGGGTCTTGCTACCAGTCCTGGGGAGAGCAGAGAACCCCCTTGGTGCTCCCACCTTCCTCAGCCAACTAAATCTAGGCCCCTGGCTTTAAATGACCCCCTGGATCCCATGACTCCGAATGAATCATCGCCCCAAGGCAAGTGGGGTCTTCGAGCAGGGGACGGGCCACGCACGGGTGGAGGCTTTTGATTCAAGAACCTGGAGGGGCCCCATCCTCCGCTTCCAACAGAGTACCTGCAGAGTGGGCAGGTCGATAAAAATGTGGCGATCCAGCCTCCCGGGCCTCATGAGGGCATTGTCCAGGATATCCGCTCGGTTGGTGGAGGCCAGCACGATGACGTGGTCCGTGGTCCCCATCCCTGCAGAAGAGAAACGGCGGACGCTCAGAAACACATGGGGGGGGGCAAAGAGGCCAGAGGTACCCTTCTCCACGCCACGGGGGCAGCCGCAAAACAGGGACAGTCCAGTGTGGATGCTGGACCAAGAGGAGGAAGGTGCTCATAAACCTTGGGGTGTGTGTGTGTGTGTGTGTGTGTGTGTGTGTGTGTGTGTGTGTAGGAAATCTGACTTATGTATTAATTACGAAGCGTGGAACGTTTCTTTAAACCACTCGCCTGCACTCTTCAACTGGAAACAGAAGTCAGACACGTGGTAAGTGGGAAAATAAATTGGGAACACGCCACCCAATCCTTGCAGACAACTCTAACCCTTCCTGGACTTTACCCTGCCTTATTCAGCCCACAATTTCCCCCACCGTTCAGCACCAGCCAGATTTCAGAGTAGCAGGGTTGGAAGGGAGTTTTGGAGGTCTTCAATTCCAGACAAGTGGCTGTCCAGGCTCTTCTTCAAAAAGGCTCCAGTGGTGGAGCATCCAGAACTTCTGGAGGTTAGTTGTTCTCGCCTTGGTTCCAGGTTGCTTCTCTCCTTGACTGGCCTCCCTCCGTTGCGCCTTGTCCTGCCTTCGGGGGCTTTGGAGAAGACCTGGGCCCCTAGTCCTCCTTTTCATTACGTAGAAACAATTTCAGGCCATTTGCCGGAAGCCTGCCGCATTTGCAGGGAAGGTCCAGCTCCTTCCCGCGGACACCACAACAGCCCCGCCTGCTCTTTCCACTTCTGGAAGCACATCTGGCACCAGAGCAGCGTTGGCACTGCAAGCTGAAGGGTCTCTTTCTCGGTCAGCCTGTCAGTCCACAGAACCTGCCCACCTTCCAGTGGCCACAAACCCACCGACTGGGGCCTGTGGGATTGAGTTCTGCAAGCGGAGCCCTTCCAGCTGCAAGAGTGGCATCCACCTTCAATCAACAGTTTTTAGCTCCTGTGTGGAAGTGTTCGGCATTGGCACATGCCGGCTGAACATGCACAAGGCGGCCAAGGCAGCCTCTTCTTTCTAGGTGCCCCGTCCTTTTGTTCTCCTCCAGATACGCACCAGGTTGTCAATGCCCGGAACTGGATGCAGCATCTGAAGTGGGTCTGGCCAACACAGAGCACAGCAGAAGGACGAGGGAGTTTCTTCCCAAGCACGACCATACAACTCTGTTGCTTGAAGAGCCACTTGATAACTGCCTGGTGGTCCAGCCCACGTTTTGCCACTTTCTCTGTCAGGAAAGGTGGGTGCTGAGCTTTGATCTGCTGAGGGGGCAGCAAAGTAAGAAGGCTACCTGCTTACTGCGCACACCTGTCTGGAAAAGGGGGCTTCTTGACCACGAGCCGCTTGGCTCTCTAAACGCTCCGGCTCTTACGAAGGGCACTAACAGCATTTCAAAGCAAGGTGCAGATATAAAGCAGAAGAACCCACAGAGGTTTCAGGAACGAAGACAGCCAAACATCCTCGGAGTAGGGAATAAGGGAGTTGACTCAGCCTTCAATGCCAACACCGGAGCTCGGCTCATTCTCAACCTGTCTGAGCAGAAATGGTTCCCAAGGCAGAGATTCATTTCTGCTTACAACTCTATCCACCCGGGAACAGAGTTCCATCGATCTAGGAGACCAAGCAGGCAGGGGCTAGCTCTACCACTTCTGACGTGCAGAAGGCCTGGCATTGATTGAATTCAAGCAATGCTGCTTCTCTGGGGGCCTCCTCCGTGATCCGCTTGTAGCTGGAGAGAAGGCCGGCCGTCTTCCCAGCATTTCCACATGCCTCCCTTCCCCAAAGCCACCGAGTCTTTAAATTAAAGAACCCGCCCCAGACAGCTGGAAAGAGCAGGCCTGTCCTCCGGCCTGAGCAGCGGGACTGTCCTGGCAGAGCCCTGGAGGAAGAGAACCAGAGCAGGAGGAACTCCTTGAATCACCCTGCTTCCCTGGGGGAGACAGGAACTGCCCCTCTTGGGCTGCACGTCTCCCCGGCCAGCAGCGTCAAATGCAGCCAGCACTGAGGTTCATCTTCCCTTCTGGGCAGCCAACAGAAACCCATCAAAGGAGAAGCAGCAGAGAAAAACACCGGAGCTGACAATGAAGGGAAGCCCAGACCTCCAGATCTAAGGAAACAGGCAGCAGCTTGGGAAAGGGGGGTGGGGGTGGGGGGTGGAAGAGGCCTGCTGGAGAGGAAATGCCCTATTAGGAGGGGCGAATATCCTTTTGGGGAGGGGTGGGAAGAAAAGACCCCGGGCTTCAAAACCAAACGCTTTGCCATGAAAAACTGACCGTCCATTTCGACCAACAGCTGGTTCAGGGTTTGCTCCTCTTCTGTGTTGGAGAAGCCAGACATGTTGGTTGAGCGCCTTTTCCCAACCGCGTCTATTTCATCTATGTAGACGATGCACGGGGCACACGCCCGGGCTTCCTTGAAGAGGCTCCGCACCCGGGCAGCGCCAAGGCCTGCAGGTGGGCAAAGCGGGAGTGAGGCCGCGTCGAAGGGACAGGGGCTGGGCTCTCCGGGGCTTCTGCTCCTGTTGCTCGGGACCCTCGCAGCTCTCAACCAAGCCACAGGCTGCTGGGTCCCTTTCTAGCCAGGCGAGTCTTCTGCCAGGAGCCGGCAGAGGGCAAAGCAGCACCAATGGGGCAACGCAGGAAGCTCGGCTAATCAAAGCTCTGACGCTTCTTCTGGGGTCTGGAAGCTCCTCGGGAGCCACCCAATCCTCCCGAAGAATTTGGGGCTCCGGCAGAAGCTTCCTAAGGCCAGAAACGGTGGGGGATCAGGAAGTGGGGAGGAGCAGCAGATCAGTGACCATCCCCACAAGCCCCTTCGCGAGGAAACCGGTTCAAGTCCTCTGGAAAGCATCTCCTCCCACGCGAGGCTCCACGACCGAGAAAGAGGACTCACCGCCAATCACCTCCACAAATTCAGAGCCAGCTATTGCCAGGAATGGCACTTGGGCCTCTGTAGCCACCGCTTTTGCCAGCAAGGTCTTGCCGCAGCCTGGTGGCCCAAGCAAGAGGGCCCCTCTGGGCACTTTGGCACCCAGCTGGAGGTAGCGCTCCGGACTCTAGAACCAAAAGGAAGGGATGGAGCAGGGAACGCTGGAGAAACGAGGCGCTGTTCCCCTTCCCACAGGTGCAGCAGGAGGCTCAAGGTATTCTGCAGCCTTTCCTACAGACTCTTTTGTTTGGAAGCACCTCGGGGTGAGCAAAGGCCCGGCCCCGTTCTCGAGGAAGCAAAAACTGGTTTGCAGTTTCCCCCAACAATTCCCTCTCCTCGGCCTTCCTGCTTCCCAAGGCAAGTTGTCTCTTTTACCTTCAGGTAATCCACAAATTCCTTGACTTCCGTCTTGGCCTCGTGCAGGCCTGCCACGTCCTTGAAGCTGATCCCTTTCCCAGATTTGCCATCTACGATTGTGAAGCGAGCCCTTTTCAGCTGGTTCTGCCAAGGAGGGGAAGAAAAAGCCCTTGTTGGCTGTGGCACTTGGAGGGCAGGGAAGCTCAGATACAGAGAGCAAGAGGTCTGCGGCGCAAACCCTGCATCCCCTCCCCAGGACAAAGCCTAGGTGGTGCTACTTCCTGTTTTCCATCCCAGTAGATAGCAGGCAAGGGGGAGGAAGATACCCTGTCACCACGGCAACCCTCCTTCTGCTGAGCATGTGCCTCCCAGTCAAGCGCAGAGACGCGCATCCACCCTTTAGATGGAAGGGCTGATGGGGCCTTCCTGAACGTAAGCATGCTTGAAAGAAAGCGCGCAGCCCCCGGACTCCAAAAGTGCTGCCTCTCAAAGGGCTCGATGATATGGGGGGCAGCAGAGCAGCCCTGAAAACAACAGGCATCGCATTCCGGCCTCCTTTGAGCCGGAGAGATGGACAAAATCATTATTTACCTGAACCCTGGCAGTTCCTGGAGCTCAGCCTTCCCACCTGAGAGGGGAAAGGGGCTCCATTTTTGCCAACCTCCCCCCCCCTCCCCCCCCCCCCCCCCCCCCCCCCCCCGCTCCCAGGAGGCTGAGCAGCAGACAACCCAGCACCGGCAACCATGAGAGGAAGACGGAGGAGCCCCCGACTGTCCAGTCTCTGACCAGCCCCATCTGGAGGATGTCAGCCCCCGCCCCCCCCCCCCCCCCCCGGCATAGTAAGGCTACTTACGAAGGCACTGAAGGCGCCTTCCCTTCCTGATATGCCAGCCAGCCGAAAAATGTACCACAGAATGCCAACACTGACCACAGTCATTCCCAAGGTGTAGAGGGCACTGCCGAGACAAGGAGCACAAGAGAGTCAGCCTCGGCATCTGGAGACCAGTCTGAGTTTGGGGAGCCAAAAATACAGTAGAAAACTGGATTTCTCCAATAACAAAACAAACACAGCAGAGAACATGGGGGTTTTGGTGACTGCAAATCCTTTGGCTGCCTGCTCCCTTAACAGTTCCAAGAGGGGAGAATCTAGGCCAGCCCACTGCAGCCGAGCTGTGTCCTGGGGACCCGGCCAAGAGGCAGAGTTTGCTGCCAGGAAGGGACCACCAAGCTGCTCCCAGGCAGGAGGCCGCCTGGCTACCAAACGGGACCTTTTCCCAAGGAACTCCTTTGCTCAGAGGCCTCTATGGAAGTCAGGCCCTCCATTCTGAAGCTGTCGGATTCAGCTGTGGGCTGGACCATTCAGGCCCGTCCATGGCAGAAGCCACATCTTCAGGATAGGCTGTTGTTGCTCAGCACTCCGCCTGGTCGTTGTGCACCCCAAGGTCAAAGTGCAGACAAGCAACCGTGAGGAAGGGAGAAGGGCGGACAGGAGCGGCTGCCAGGGTAGAGGCAATTCACGCCCTCCCTCCCAAGCGCTCCGTACTTTCCGAAGAAGCTGCTGCGCCTGTAAGAGACGGGGATTCGGTCGCTCAAGTCGATGTTCAGCTCATCTTCGGCCGCTCGCAATTTCTCCTCGAACTTGTCGATGTTTGCCACCTTCATCACATAGGTCAGGCTCAGCTTCTGGAAGACACAAAAAGGTGGAGACGTCCCAGCCAGGTGAGCCTCCTCAGAGAAGGAAACGGAGGGCTGCCTCTGAATACAGAGCCACGGAGGGACAGTGCTAGAGAGGAAGAAAGCAGCCCCACCGGGCAAATATGGCTTCTTCACCCACCTGACCTCCCAGCCTGTCAACACCCCAGCCTACCTGAAGTCTGGGTCAAAGCTACTTAAAAACAAATGAACAGCCCAAAGCTAAAGTGATTCAGAAAAGCTACAATCAGTCCTTTGGCTATTCAAATATTAGTACGTCATATTCTCTGCATTTGGAGTTTTCTCACCGGTTAACACCTGAACTGAAAATAATTCCAAGATCAGTCGAAAGCTCAAATGCTTTAACTTAAGACTTTGGCCAAATGCTTCAGCTACGTTCTATCTAGAAAGCCCTTCAAGGGATCAAGGAACCCACACAAGCTCTATTTCTCCTTTATTTCACATTAATTTCACTTAATGAAATCGTTCAGAAAAAACATGAAAACTTCACAAAATGGGGGGAGAGGGAGCCATTGCGACTGGAGAATTCTGGCTACTGATTTGAAAGCTCAGGGCCCACAGCGGCCTTTCCCAGTGAACGAAGGGGGCCGCAAAGGACACTCACGGGCCAACCAAAGACCACGGCCCCCGGGTGCAGGTGGATTTCCACAATTTCGCTCTCCGGCACCACCTGCACACTCTGCACCTCCCCCTTGGCCAGCAGCTCGTTGACAAAGTCGTTCCAGGAGATGCTTCCCGCGCTGGTGGTCAGTGAGTTCAGCAGGCTCATGACGATGGCAATGAAGAAGAGGACCTTCAGCCGCTCTCGATACATCTGGTCTTCCCTCTCCCGGCGTCTCTTTTCCTCTGGGGAGAGGAAACGTAAGAGCCCAACAAGCTGACTATGCCTCAGGCCACAATCTCCCCCCCCCCCCGCCCCCCCGCCTGTTTTCTGTTCCACATTTCAGCCTTCCTTAGAAAACAAAGCTGGGCTAGAAAACCAGCATCTGGTTTGCAGAACAGGATTGTGTTTCAGCCATTGCCCGGGCTGAATGAAGGGAGGCCAGAGCGGGGCTGGCCAGCTGGGTGGCAGGAGAGGCCTATTCAGGCCAGGCCAACGGCTGGGGAGCAGAAGACCTTAGGGAACTACCTAGCAGCGATGCCAGCCCTGGTCTTCAGCAGGCGGGGTGGGGGCTTTGTATCAGCCAGCCAGTGTTTCTCAGACAAAAGTAGACAAAGCCAGAAAAGGAAAAGACGGGTGTGTTTTAGTCTTAGAAAGGGCAAGAGCAGCATGGCTGCCTTCTGCAGCACCTACGAACTGCCCCGTTGCCAGGGGAAGGCTGCAGATAAACCAGTTTTGCGATTATGCCCACTCCTCCCGAAACAATCCCAGGAAAGGAACCCTTTGCGCCATTTTCTCCTGGGGATGTAGCCGCAGTACTCTAGTTTTAAGCTGTGGCTTAGCACTACAGGTGAAGCTGCTGAGAAGGGCAGCTTAAAACTCTAACAAACAAACAGGCTGCATTGGCTTCTTAACCGCCTAACCTTAGAACTGGGTTCAGTACTACTGTGACCTTAACCCATCCACTCCTGTGCTGGGCTTAGAGCAGAACCTCCATGAATTGCGGGAGGAAGAGGCACCTGATGGCTCCCAATCTCGGCCTCCTTTCAGATCCCGGACAGCAGGACCCGCTCTTTGGCAGGTCAGGCCCTTTACCCAGCCAGGAAAGAGAACCAGACGTGGGGCTCACGTCTGCACGGCTTCATCTAGCAAACCCCGGAGCTCTCTCTTTTTTTCAAACAGCTTAGAATTAAAGGGTGAAATGGCTTTTATTCCCAGAGAAAAGCCCACTGCCCATAATTCAGGTCCCCCAATATGTGGCTGCACCTAGGCCACGAAATCTACCTGCGGTGCTTTTCAGAGTAGTTTAAGATGCAGGGAGATGTGAGCTGGATGGGAGGCTAACTAGGCTGACAGAAAAGGGAAGACGAACAGGCTTCCCCCAAACCAAAAAAAACCTACTGGGGGCTTCATAGTAAAACTGTATATAAATCCAAACTTACCCTCATCTTCCTTTGGGGATTTCCCTTTGGGCTTTTTCCCACTTTGGTCATTGCGATGAGAACCAGATGTAGAAAAATAGCAGCAGGTGCCACCAGTAAGGAAGCCTGCAGTCAAGGCCAGGTACCTCTCATCTGCTTGGCACAAAGAAGAGCCAGGAGTGTAGAATTGTTCAGTTGTTATTCCAAAACAAGCAGAGTTCTCGGAGTTCCAAATGAAGGGCCCAGGTTTGGCTTAACTTTCGGCACCCCAGAGTGGAGACAGGGCCTGTAACTCTGTCAGGTGGCCCTTTCAACCATCACCTGGTGGGAGCCTTTCCAGTGGGACAGTGAGGCAGCCAGAAGGAAGGCCGGCCCACCATCAGCCAGGCTTCTGGAGAAACACCGGTGAGTTCCTTCTTTCCCAGAACCGCTTCAAAGCTTCCTACGTGAGCTGCCTCTTCAAGGACTGTTTGGAGAAGACATGGCATGGAGGGAGGGAGGGAGGTGGCAAGAGAAGAGTCCCTTCGCTCCAGTGCCCCAATTGGGCCAGGAAGTCCATGTTGTTATGCCCGATGCAAACTCAGAGAACGTCTCAGGCAGTTTAAAGCATTTTATGAAACAGAAGGCTCTCTGACCAGCCTCCTTTAGACATTTTATGAATTATATTGCTGTAGTTGATTTCTTTAAATTACTGTTTTCATTGTAGAATAGCATTTTTATGGCACCCATTCCTCCTCATTTGGGGAGGAATGATCTAAAAACATTTAAGTGAAAGTTAATCTTGCCTGGGTTTCCCCCTCTACGTGCCCATTTCTTTTTCACTCTGGAGTGCAACCTGGGGCAAAGATGGGATCCTCAGAAGGATCTTTTGCAGGCTCTTCAGCAGGGGAGGCCCCAAAGGGCAGTCCAGCATCTGTGGGCACTGCAAGGACCCCCCCCCCCGCCCCCTTGACAGGGCTGGAAAGAGAAAGTCCTCCTGGGATCAGAGCAAACAACGGCGGGATGGAAATGATCGAGGGGGAGCCAGACAGCCGCCCAGGCCGAAGTATAACTCTCCCCCCCCTCCTTGAGCGGGTCTGGCGTCTCTGGGCAAAAGCCCCGCTGCCCCTTCCTCAATTTCCCAGGGAGGCTCCTATTTGCTTTACCGGGGCGGCTGCAGTCAGAGAAGAGGAAAAACGGGCAAAACCCCGCCAATCCATCCTCGAAGACACAAATAGACCCCCTGACAATGGACCCCGCCCAGTCCGGACTGATCAGCTTCAGCGGGGTTTCACGGGGGGGGGGGGGGGGCGGACGGGCGAGGCTTCCTACTCACCCAGCAGCCTCCACAGCCGGGCGGGGGTCCACGCAGGCCAGGCCCAGCAGCCCCTGGAGAGCGCGCCGGGCAGCCGGAGCTGAAAGGCAGAATGGGGAGGGGGAGGTCAGGGGAGCCCGAGCGGACCCTTCGCGGAGTCCCCCCCCCTCGCCGGCCTGGTTCGGGCCCTGCTGGCCCGCTCACCTGAAGGTCGTCGCCTGGCCTGCGCTCCGCGGGGGCCCGGGTCCAACGGCGGCCCAGAGCCCCCCGAGCGCCGCCCGGTAGAGGAGCCTCGGGCCGGAGGAGGCCGCGGCCCCCGCGCCGGAGCACCAGCAGCAGCAGCGAGGCGGCGCCCGTCATCCCCAGGAAGACAGGCCGCGCGACGAGAAGGCAGCGGCCATCTAGGAAGCGGGCAGCCCGCTCTCAAGATGGCCGCCGCCGGGCCGGGAGACCTCGTGCCGCCACCTGGCGGGGGGAGTGAGGGGGAGTCCCGGTCTCCAGCCTTGAAAGGTGGCGGCACGGGGGACTGGCCGGGCACCATGGGTTTTGTGGTGCCGCAGCCCCCCCCCCCCCCCCCGAGCCTGCAACCCTCGGCTGGCGAGGGTTGAGACCAGGGGACGGGCGCGGGGCACTCGGGTGCAACGCTTCGATTTCTTTTTCAGGCCTGGAGCTGCCGGATGACAGAAGGACAAGAGCAGCCCCGCCGTCCGTGGCGCGGAGGCCCCAGCCAGTGGTGGGGAAAGAAGGCCCCGGAGGCCTCCTGCCGAGACAGTAGAACTCAGGCTGCCCCTCCGGCCCCTCTGTGGGTCCCAGGGAGAAGAAGCCCCCAGCGCGGATGGAAGCCACCCCAAAGGCGCCGCACTCGTCGGGCTGTAGGATTTGGGCATATCCGCCTGGAAGCATCACCACAGAAGGCCTGGAAACAACTCGCTGGCGAAGAGGAATTAGGACATGCGAAGAAAAAGGGTAGCATCAACCGACAGCAGAGTAAAATAGGGAAGTGGGAAGCTTCAGCACCATGGCCAAGTGTATTCTGGCTCCAGGTTTGGTGTGGTGCTTTCCTATTTGCATGTGGACACACCAGGATTATTAAAAGGATGCTCACTTGACTCAGAGATTCTGAATTTGCACACACCTTTAAGACTGAGGGTTCCCTTCATAAAAAGGCATGGAGTCAAGTTGCAGAAGAGAATTTGCTCAGCTGGATAAGCAGGAGATACTTAATAGTTGAGCAACAGAAAAAGATTTAATGCAGTGTGACTAGAATATAAAGTTAGTTTAGGCAGAAATAATGTTAAAGCTGTAACATTTTGTTTGAAGATCAGATTTGCAATGCTGGAAAGGCTTTCACAATTTCACTGAATAGAAACATCACTGCTCTTCCCTAAAAAAATGGTTTCATTCTCCAAACAACAACTTCCAAACAACAGACTTGCAAAACTTTCTTATGGTTGTAATCTCAGCCATCAAATTTGTGACAGACACACCCAGGATGTTAACTGGTTCCCTCTGGGACACAAGTAAACTTTTGATTAAACGAAGAGCCTGCTGCATAACCTACATACCTGTTTAGATAACTGGTTTTTAACTGAGAAACATTTGATGTAAGGCACATAAAATTCAACTAGATTGTTTTATTGACAATTTTGAAAGTAATTGTGGAGGAAGTGGGCCAAGAGGAAAAAAAATCTATCACTTGCATTAAGATAGGCATTGGCTTCTTATGAAATATTGTGACTGAAATATTGCAAATGGCTGCCTTGATTGGAGCTTCATGTGCTGGAAGGTTGAAGCATGTAAAATTATAAAAAGGGCTCACAATATCTGGTGCAAAGGAAAATTAGGTTGGTTCTCTCATAATACTTTTTAACTTATTGTAGAGGATACTTATAATAGATTATTAGAATTATAGGCAGCTCCATTCTGGCTCTGAAACTACAGTTTAATTGCAGCCATTCAGAGTTAATATATAATAGTATGCATTATCTTCTACTCTTTGAACGTTTGAAATGTAACCTTGAGAAAAGGTGATTTCATGCAGTGTCCTTTGAGTGCTTAATAAAGCTTCCTTTGGGAATACATCCAACGTTCAGACATAAAGCCATGTTCCAGCTATGACATCAGTGGGGGATTTTGGTAGGATTTTTTTTTTCAAGTTTCTGGAGAATGGTAATAAAAATAATGGTGCTGGCTCATGCAACATGAATAAATGAACTCTACATACTGTAAGCCACCTAAGACTTATTCGTTTAATTCAAATGATCTTTTTTAAAAACTAGATTGGGCATGGAATAGGAAGAGTTCCACTTCTGGGGCAACCACTGTGTTCTCCACAATTGGACAAGCTTTTTGTCTTCTGAGTTTCTTCTCTCCTCACGGAGGAACAGAACAAGAGAAGGCAGCCCTGGAATTTCCAACCCATAGAAATATATATTAAGTGATTCAAAGCCTCCTGGGAGTTTAATATTGGGATATGAATAGAGCCAGTTTGGTCTAATGATGAAGGCACCCAGTTAAGGGGGGTGGGGGGGCGCAAAGTCTCAGTCTAACCTTAGGCACCAGACAGCTCTCAGACTAACCCACCTCACAGGGTTGTCGTGGGAAAAGAGGAGGAGGAGGAGAGTCTTAGATACGTTCACCACTTTGAGTTAGTTTTGAAAAAGCACAGGCGGGGTATAAAGGATGCCTGGGGGTGGGCTGCATCAGATGCCAATCGTCCAGCGCCGGCTCTTCCCCAGCTATCCAGAAAAGCCCTCGACGCCCGCGCTCCTGCTTGGCGGCTCGGCCCATGCCCCAGGCGGCTGCCACAGCAGGCTCCGCCGGCGTTTCGGGCAAGGTGCAGCTGCTGCTTTCGCGGAGCTCGGGGGAAGCGTCTCCCTGCCCGGGAGGGCTCGTGGCCAAAGCCCCGGGCGCAGGCAGGCGGCTGGATGGCGAGCAGGGAACAAGGCGGCGCGGAGCCAGCCATTCCGCCGGCAGCGGCCGCATTTCCAGCAGGCGTCTTCCGTGCTCGGCCGGGCGGGGCCGTCCCGGTGCGGGGCGATGCGGCCCCTTTGCGGCGACCAACCCCCCCCTCTCGGTTACCCTGGCAACAGCAGCACGGGGCAGCGCGGCGCCCCTCACGTGACCTCGGAGGAGACTGGCTAATCCGCCGGATTTTCACCAATCCCAGGGTACCTCTCTCTCGTTCTCTCCCCTCCCCCTCCGCTTGGCTGCAAGGGAAAGCCCCTCCTCCGCACGCACTCACGTACGCGCGCGGGCACGCTCCCGCCGGGAAGAGGCTCGAGGGTCTGGGACACGTCACGCGCGCTCCAGCTAGCGTCCGGGCTCCGCCTCGCTGCCTCGCTCCGTCGCCAGCCAATGGGGAGGCCCGTCTCATCGGGCCAATGGGGAGGGCCAGCTCTGGCGGCGGACGGAGCGGCGGTGCCGTGAGGAAGGAAACGGCGCTGTCGGGCGGCCGAGCGGGCTGGGCAGGAGGGCTTCCGAGCGGGCGAGCCAGCGAGCCAGCGGCGGCCGGGGAGGCACCGAGAGCCGCCGGGGAGGCGGACGAGCCATGGAGCGGGTGGGCCGGAGGCGGCGACGCCGGCACTACTGAGGCCCGCCGCTGCCGCGCCGCTCCGCCCGCCCGCCCGCCGCCGCTGCTCCCTCAGGCAGGCGGCCGGGCCGGGCGCAGGCAGAGAAGCTGCGAGCAGGCCTCGCGCGCTCGCCGTCGGGCCTGCCGCCGCCACGGACAAGAGGCAGTCGCCGCCGCCGCCGCCGCGCCAGGTAAGAACAGCGCCGAGGCCTCCCCTCCCCCACCGGCGGCGAGTCCGGGCGGCGCGGGGGGGCGCGGGGGGCAGGAGCACGTGGTCTCGGGGAGGCGGCGTGGGAGGCCCCGAATCGAGGCTAAGCGGCTCCTCCGGCGGGGCGGGGCGGGACCGGAGCGGCCTCCGAGGCGGGGGAGGGTCGCGCGGCCGAGTGACAGCGGCTCCCGTCCCGACGGGGAGGGCTTCGGGGGCGGCGGCGGCGGGGGGAGCTCCCTGCGCTGGGGCGGTGCGGGATGCCGAGGGCGAGCTCGAGGTCACCTCTGCGGGCCCGGCTCCCCCGGGCCTCCCCCCCAGCACTGGCAGGGTCGGCCGGCGGGCGGCGGATGCCAGCGCAGGGCCGCGGTCGGTGTCTGCGAAGCCTCCCCCGGGATGGGAGGGGCGCCCCCGCCTGCCCTGCCGGGGAGTCGTACAGAGCAGCTGCGGGGCTCTCCAGCCTGGCGACGAGGAGGGCGGTGGGGGTGCCTGGAGGAACTGCCTCGGGAGCGGGGGGGGGGGCGGGATGGGGGGCAGCCCCGGCCAGGGTGGGGGACGAGGGCCAGTAGGACCGCGGAGGAGCCGTCGAGCGGGAGCGGGGCGAGAGCAACCCCCAGCCGGCTGCAGCAAAGACGGGCTCGGCGCCCCGAGCCAAGGTGGGTGGCGCCGGTGAAAGGCAGGCGAGGCCCCGGGGGGCCCCAGCCGAAGAAGAGGGTCCGACACCGCGCGGGGGGGGGGGAAGGGGTTGCATTTGCCAGGGTTGGTGCGGTGAAAATGCCTTGGTTCTGCTAATCTCCATTTAATATTTCATCATCTCTAAGCCAGCCTCTCTCTGCCTGTGTAGGGAAGCAGCCCTCTGCCAGCAAGGCGGGCTGAACTGCATTTATTTTCTGGTTTAATCTCTAAATTGCTGAGTCTCTTCCTTGGGCTCCCTCCTAAAACAAGAAATAAAAAGCAGCTGTACGTCTTCAAACAGAATTTAAAGCCTCCCACCCACCTCGTCTCTTAAGAAGAGGATTGATTACATGTTTAGAAAGGCAAATCATTCTGCCCCCCCCCCCCCAAGCCTTGAGGAACTGAGCCCTCTAATGCCCTCTGCCCTTTTCCCAGAGAAAGCAGCTGTCCCGCAAAGGATGTGTGCCTGTGGATTGAAAATCGGCCTGTTCATTGAGGCACAAGGGCTGGTGTGTTTGGATCTGCTTCTCCTCTCAAAATCGTTGCTCTGTTTTGATAGTTGCAGGAAGGAACTAGAGCTCCCTCCCCCTCCTTTCCTATTCTGTACACAGATCTCCCTTGTCACAAGGAACACGGCCATAGAGGGAGCAGATCCGTCACTGTCTTTTAAAGCCAAATGCATCTCTGGGGATTGTTCTGGAAAGGGAATATGGACAGAATAGCCCAGCCAGGCAGGCAAAGAGGAGAATAACAATCAGCCAGGGAGATTTTCATGGTTGTGCTTGGAAATGTTATCAATAATGTTCCTAGAAGTAATTCCGCTTTTACGAAAAAGGGAGCCTGCCTCTTGGATTTTGCACCTCTTCCCCTTTCTCTCACAGTTTTTATGTGTTTTTCTGTGGCCCTAGTTTTATTCTGGTTTTTGTTTCTTAATGAAATTCAAGAGACCCTAATTTTTGAATAGAGTTTAAGTGTTCGTGGTAAAACTTATTTTGACTAAAATAGATGGCTTATATCTGAGTAAGGAAGAGTCCTAATTTTATGCTGGAAATAAATTTTAGAAATGTTACAGATGGTGCTAGTGAGGAAAGTAGATGAAAAGTAAGATTCTTTGTAGAAGTCAAGATATTCTTTACCATTATAGTAGGCATTGTGGGAGGCTATTTATAGTCAGATTGAGCAGCAGTAGGGCACTGCTTTATGCAAGGACACAGCAATTCCAGGTCGGCCCCTGGAGAATTGAGAATGTTTTAGGATAGAATTCTCTATGGAATAGAGATAGTCACATAGGCAACCCAGTATTTACAGCTCATGTAAACATTCTGCATTTTCTCCTTAAAGGGTTAACTGGCTAAACTGGTTGAACAGGGCTGCATCTGGGAGGCCGGGTTTGGGACTGCCCTGGCTTTTGAACCTTACGCCTTAGGAGCAAGCTCAGAACACGCTGTGTATTGTGGCTGCTGCATGTACAGTAGTGCTGAGTTATGGCTACTTGCATGCACAATTCAGTTCCCATGGCAAAGGGACATGAAGGATTTCCTAAAAGCATTTTTACTTTTTGGGAATAGATCACTAAAGGCTTAAATTATAGTATGCAATGGCACATAGCTGCTTATGGGCTGTGTTTCTAACCTAAACGTAGATGTTAAAATAATTACTTTTTGGCACATAGCTGTGAAGCTGCACATTATGTGTCTCCCCCCGCCCCCCCTTGGTTTAACTACCAAAGAGAATAATAAAGTGTAAGCTGTGTAGATGAGTCCCAAAGGTGCTTTTTCAAAAGGCAACTGGACTTTGATTTTTCTTTGAAGACAGTTCGCTTCTCATCCAAGAAGCTTTTTCAGTTCTGAACTGAAAGTGCAGTTGGCTTTTGAAAAAGTACCATTGGAACCATCATGACCTGGATGACTGAGACTCTCCATCGACTTATTTCTCCGGTAATGTTCATATAGTACCAGTTTGCCTTGCTCAAAGGAGATGTGCTAATATTAATTCTAGGATGAAGATGAGGAGAGACTAGTTGGGACAGTGTTGTTGCACATAATGGGTAGCTCTAACTACACGGCAGAGTGGATGTTCCAGGTCTCATTATTGAGATAATGTATATGTTCTGGGTTAATAGTATTCTTATGAGTATTAAAATCTGAATTTAAGCATTTTTTCCAAATCAAAACATTTTGTAAAAATTATTGTGGCGAACATAATCATTAATATTTATAGTTTTTGCCCTTCACAAAATAAAATGTCAGCTGATGTGGAAGATTCTGCTTTGATTTCTAGGATAAGCTTTTATTTGCCAGGAAAGAATGGTTTCTTAGTGTGATCAGGCAGCATTAATCAGACCCTATCATCAGTCTACTCTCCTTAAGGGAACCACACACACACACACACACACACACACACACACACACACACACACAC